CTGATGAAACGCTTTGTGACATGGACGGACCTGGAAACCATTATGCAGAACCAAATTAATCAATCACTAAAAAACAAACACTGTCTGAGATCACTCCCATAAGGAATAAGACCAAGACAGAAGCAGGCATCTCTTCTCAGGTCACGGAATCTACTAATCTGGTCTCCCGAGCAACAAGGTGCCAGGCGAATCCTCATGACCCATATACACCCATTTATTTGTACATCGCAAAAGCACTTTGTTAGAGGCTCCCTCAACTCAACTGGGGTCAGTTTTTCATGCTGGAGGCAGAAGGAGAAGATCAATTGGTTCCTGCCATATAACATAGTTCTACAGTTACTCCAAATCCACAGACACTCCTGCAAAAGATCTCAGTGAATCTTAATGGGAATGCAAGTCCAGATGTGGGGGAGGAAGAGCCATGTGTGTCTTCAAGAAGGCGATTTCACTTGTGTTGGTGGCAAACCAGGTGGGGCAACTTCCCATTGGGAAAAACACTTAGCATTCCTTCTAGAGACCCCAAGTGGAGAGTGCCCGAGTATTATGTTCCCAATTGCACACCTTTGACCTAGCTTCTATCAGGCCTTGGTGATACAGGCCAAGTGCTACAGACCAACAGAACTTTGGACTCTATCCTTTTGAAGTGTCCAATATCTTCCATAGGCCACACCAGAAGGATCCGATTTGGAAATCCTACTAAGTGAACTGAATGTTACCTTAAATCCATCCGTGGTATTTTAAAGGACATGAAACACTCCCTTGGATTTAAGACTGAAATGCCCTAGTGTGAGGAGAAGCAGTTGACTACTATCCCAAGGTTATGAATTTGGAAGTCACTGGACTTTTGTTCAAATCTCTTCTTTTGAGGGTGCCTAATAAATGGCAGCTGAAGGCTACAATATATTTGCTATTTTCGTACACTCTCTGCTTTTTATGACATGTCTACATCCCTCAGGCATAGCTCTGCCATTGTGAATGTATGCTAAAGTTTTGCCCTATTTCCAACCCTTACCGGTTGTGTAGTCGCTTAAGCTTTTTAATCTGTACCAGTCAACAATCCATGTATGTGGCACTTAGATGTTATGTCAACTTGAACCTGTGTAAAAGTGTACAGGTGGAGGCCAACCTGTCAATCAAGTCACAACCTGATGCTGTCTCCTTGGGAATGTGGCCTTTTCTATAAGAGAAATTGAGAAAATCTCTTCTTCTCTGACCACTTGCCCTCTCGCCTTGTTGGCACTTTGTGTCTGCCTCCAGGGGTGGCCTCATGTGGGCTGCCAACCGGGAGAGCTGTTAGTGACCTGTTCCCACAAACCCTGGATCCACATAGCCTGTACCTATAGCCTTTGATCTCCTTGCACCTCACTTAACCTTTCTGCATCACTGGCTTTTGGCTACGTGAATCTGAAGGGGATGTCAGCTAGGATCAGACCGTGGATTTGAGTTGAGCTAGACTGGGAAATCTTGATATAAAATTACTTCTCCACCTCTGTATATTGATATGTATCCTGGTTTTGCTTCTCTAGAGAATGCAGACTAATACAATGTGTTTCAGTCTAAAAACTTGTCCTATATACTTATATTTCCCTTTTCTAAACAATATTTTAAGATCTATACAATTGTATAAATGAATGATACTTTCAATAGAATTACCCCATGCCTCATGGGAATGATCCCCAATAAAATGATAATGATGTCTCTAAAGTGGACCAGGGACATATATAAACCATAGACATATGAATGAATTTTGAGCTCTCCCTAATCATAGCCCTACTTTAAGAATTCTCATTTCTTATGACACGGCCCTACTCAATACTTGCCCTTATGAAGAGATCACTGAAGATATGGGTGTTATAGCTAAGTGTGGTAAAGAAATCAGATGGTGCTCAGCTATCAGATAAAATAACATCTGGGGTCTTAAAAACTTGTTTCAAACCAGTAACCATCTAACGGAGGTATCAGCTAAGTCTACCCAGAAGAAGCACACCAGTCTGTGTGATCCAAGGATTGTAAACAATAAAATCCAGCGAAGAAAATAGTATCAGAGCTTATATTCTGAAAACCCAGTTTACAGAAGGCTATTAATCACAGTAGAAACCCAAAATCCATCTGCAGGGTCCCCACATGGATTAAATTTACAATGAATCCCTTCTGACTATAGTTCAGGGATGTGAATGCCCTTGCTATCAGAAAAGAGCCCTGTAAAGTTGATTGTGGCAGATGTAGCTAGGTTAAAATGTAACACCTTATCATTTAATCTCCTTTTGACCAATGTTCTAATTTGTTCCAGTTTTTTATTTTCTGCTTTCTTTTCAACTGTTTTCCTCTGTTTTATTTTGTCATTATTGTTGGTTTTCATTTTGTGTGATTTTCTATATATGAAATCTAGGATAGATTAATCTATAGAGACAAAAGCTGGATTAATGATTAGCTGGGGCATGGCAGGGGAGGTTGGAGAGAAATGGGAGCCAACAACGACTACAGGAACAAAGAAAATGTTCTAAAATTGAATGTGGTGATGATTGCACACCTCTTCTCAATATGATTGAACTACTGAATTATATGATATGTGAATTATTTGCCAATGAAAATAGTTTTTTTAAATATTAGTATCTGGGGTCTTACAGGTTTGTCTTAAAGTAAGCAACCATCTAAGTGAAGTGTCAGCTAAGTACACAGAGAAGAAACACACCTGCATGTGGGATCCAAGAATTGTAAATCATGAAATCCGAGACAGGAGGAGGGAAATTGTATTAGAGCTCAAATTCTGAGAACACAGTTTATAGGGGCTACGCATGACAGTAAAAGCCCAAAACCCACTTATAGGATCCCTCTATGGATTAAGCCTCTGGTAAATGCCCCCTGAGCATTGACCATGGATGTGAACAGCCTTGCTATCAGAGCGAATTGGAAGTGGAATAATGTAATATGCAGTTAGGTTAAAATTTAACATATTTTTTATTCTCCCTTTGACCCTTTTAAACTTGTTCTAGTTTTTATTATTTTCTAATTTCTCTTTTTTTAATTAAAGATCATTTTATTGGGGGCTCTTACAGCTCTTATAACAATCCATACATCAATTATAACTGATTTCTTTTTGATTGAAGTTTTTCCCTGGTTTATTTTGTTCTTTATTTTCTTTATATAAAATCCAGGATACATCTATAGAAATAGAAACTGGATGAAGAGTTTCTTAGGGTTATAGCAGGGGAGGTTGAGGGCAAGAAGGGAGCTAATGATAATGAGCGCAAGCAAGATGTTCTAAAATTGATTGTGGTATTGATTGCACAGCTCTTTTTAATATGTTTGAAATGTTGAATTGTCTGATATGTGAATTACATGTTAACAAAACTGTTAAATTAGAAAAATAATCCACCATCATCAAAAGTGTTGATTCGGATCCTTTGGTTTTCAGGCTCTGGGGACCAGTGAGAGCCCTCCTCCCAATGGGAGAGGGGACACACAGACACAGAGGTGAACATTATGTCCGTGAGCATTAAGCATTTTGAACTCAGGAGCAGCATGATCTGAACGATGCCCCAGAGAACTGACCCAGCAGCAGCACATAAAATGCACGTGGTGGTTCACACCAGGGGTGACGTGGCCTGGACCCCACCGTGTGTATGATCAGAATGACACTCAGCAGAGAGACACAGGTCAGAGACCACTGCACTGATCCATCATGAGAGGCTCAGGGAAGGCTGGCTGCGGGGGCACTGAAAGAGGGCACCATGCCAACAACTTTGGAAGTCACAGTGAGAGACAGAGTGTCCACAACCAAAAGCAGTGAGGGAAGTTGTTCAGGAAGAAGAGGGTAGATTTGTTCTGTTGTGTTTGAATTGATGTGGACACGAGCTCTGTGTACCAAAGGTGTGTGTAGAAGCTCTGAGGATAGATGACCCCTACAGCAGAGAGCAGAAACATAGAAAACAAGCATTGGGTTGCTTGCAAGGGACAATGATTCAGGCATGTTGGCTGGTGTGTTGTATGCTAATTATCCTCATCCAATCACCATAGTAGCCTCTCTGCTCATTACAGGAGGATTGGGCGACGTACTACTTGGCCTCCCTCAGAGACAACCATTAACTGCTTGGCACGTACCCTTTCACATTTTTCTGTGAATGCATAACTTTTTTTTCTCTTTTTAACAAAGATGTAATCCAGCTGTACTGTAATCTGCTCTTGTGACTTGATTGCATCTATCCTTGATAACACAAACACACTGACCTTTAGTACTATTCTAAAGGGCTGCAGAAATATGCCACATTTTATATAAGACAGCAGAGTCAGTATCAACTGAAAGGTAATGGGTTTTGCTTTATTATTGTCCAGAAATCAAAATGTGTCCAATTATCTGATAGTATTAACTGCTTGGCCATGACCAATCATGTAGCTAACTCATTGAATACTTCCTTGTTTCCTAAATAAAGTCCCAGGATGGAAGTCGTAGGTGCACAGGTATGCACAGCACCTCCATGGGAGGAAGATGAAGCAGTTTACCTTGGTAAAGATGTATAGCCTTGGAAACTCTACGTAGCGGCTCTCTTCATCCAATGACAGTGTCATGAGTCAGAATCGATAACATGGGGTTTTTTGGTAAGTACAAGAAAAGGTCGAAGCCTTTTCAAATAACTAAAAGCTACACCCGTAGCAAGGGGAGGCGATTGTGCTAATGAATTTACTTTGAGTAGGGGCTGTTTTAGTCACTTCAAAGTGAGTTATTTATTTGACGTTAAAGGGCATGGAGGAGCTGTCTGATAAGCCGGGTTTTCCTAACCGGATGGTCTGAACTTTCAAGGGGCCTTTGTCATGTGAAAATCTTAACAGTCCCATCTGCCATATTTGTTCCGCAGTTTGTCCTTTGCCTGCATTTGTGCTTATGGTGTTTGCTATGCCAAAGTCCCTGCTTGTTGCTGTAACAGGCAAGTCCATCCATTTCTCTTCTTCGTGGTTTCTGTCTTTGACCACAAACTCTTAAAGTCAAAACAACAAACACTCACCACTATAGTCACCATGATGCAGATGTTTTTTGTATCCTTCCAGAAAACCGTCTGAGGGGTGACTTTTGCAAAATGTATAAGTCTTCCAAAGAAGGCAGTCAGGCAGAGCACTTCTGCTATGGAGGTGGCCTGCGCAGAGAAAGACAGACTCAGCCACTGGGACGCTCCGCACTGGATCTCGTGCACTTCCCGGCTCCCCCTCTGAGAATCAGCCATGCCTAATGCTGAAAGTTTCCAAAGAATTCTATGATGGCTGCAGTGGTTTCTGCCTCTTAAAAAGACATCTGCCCTTGGGTCAGGTATTCCATAACCCCGACTGGCAGCCTTTCCTGGGAGGAGCCAGAGCACATTTCCCTAGAAAAGGAGAAGGGTGAGGATGGCAGAGGCAGGGGCCCCCATGCACTCCCATTCCCCAGCTTCACATTCAGAATAAGCTATCTAGATGTGTAGCCTAGCTCCCCAAAGAAGATGTTTTGAAATAGCAGATCAGTCCTTCAATACCACTGCCGTGGTTTCCCTGCTGCCTGTATTTGGCAACTAGAGAAGTCAATGGAGGCCACTGAGGCCCAGCCCTTCATGTGGACCATCGTTTCCCCGGAGGTGAGACCACGCTGTGAATGGTTTCTTGCAGGAGAAACAGGCTGTCAAAGTGGATTATAGCTACGCGCTTGCTTTCTGCGAGCTCGGTTCTGCTCCCTAATCACACTTACGCAGTGCCAGCTGGTGTGACCCCAGTTCAGAGTCCTGGTGTGCAGCCAGCTTTATTCACCAAGGCCATCAAAGCCCCTGCCTGCCACTGAGACACACAGAGACTTCACTTTGTCTTACCACCGCCCAGGGCTCACCTTGTGAGTAATCCCCTTAATAAGCTCCCACACCAGAATTCTAGGGCTGCCAGCCTCCCTCTTCAGTCTATTAGCCCGTTCCTCTTTGGAGGCAAATTTAGAATGATAAGTTCTCGTTGAGACATGCTTCTAACCTGCACTAACAAGGGAACTGTCCTCCAGAAACAAAGAGAGGAAGGTGGCAAAGTAGGAAATGATTGGCGAGGCGGTTTGGCTAAAGCTAGGAAGAGGGAAAGGGGTAGGGTGAGGTCTCAAAGGAAGGGATGTCCTGAAAGACAAAGGGGCTGACTTTGGACCCTGAGTATCAACGTGGGCTGTAGCTCCTACAATCATTTTAGCTTTCAGTCTTTTTACCCTCGAAGGGCTATAGAATCTCACTGTCAAGGCCAGATTTGCAAAAGAACTGGGAGTAATTCCAAGAACACATCTCCCCCCATGCTCAAAACAAGACTTGCGTGGAAACACCAGAATCCAGACTAAAATTTCCACATAACACATTCCATTTCGGAGACTTAATGTGTAAATATTGCCTGAAGGGGAATCCAGACGGTCAAGCAGCCAACCCAACATTTGCATGGTTAATACCAGGAGGAGTGAGGACTCACGCAGAGAAGCAATGGGAGAGCAGGTGACCTCAGGGAATTCTCACCTAGGCCGGGGTAGCCCAATGCCCCATCTGCTACAGACACTGACAAGCATATCCACGTCTTTGAATGCACATTCTGCTTCTTCAGAATTTGTGTTTGCTTTCACAGTGACTCGCCTAGACATTTTCTACGTGGAAAATTCATTGACTGTGAAACCTTTATCATGTGGAAGTCATGATGGTTAGGTTTTGTGTCAACTTACCTGGTACAGAATTCTCAATAGTTTGATAGTTTAATGCCTAGTAATTCCCCCTACACAATGGAATTACCTCCATCATGGGATCTGCTATGAGGAGCCAATTAGTTTTAAAAGATTAGGATGGAATGCAACAGCCTTACTCAGCTCCTAAGCCTGATGCCACCAATTTCAAGAAGGTTTCCTTGGGGGTGGGACTTGCTCCCAATATAAGTGGACACTGTGGAAAAGCTTGCTTAGCTTTTTTTCTGAGTCCAGATCCTGCATCTGGCTCATGGACCTCTGGCTTTTGGGACTTGAGCCAATAGCCTGCTATGTTGCCCAATGATCCTGGGAGTTGTCATCAGCCTGCCATCTGACCTGCTGACCTTGGATTCCCTCACTTTCTGAGACCATGAGCCTGAGCTGCCAACCTTGGATTCATTTGCCTTTGCACCCAAAGCCTGTCATCTTCCTACCAACCTTGAGTTCATCAGCCCCCATAGCTACATGAGTCGGGAGAAAGCTCCAATCTAACATCTGACCCATGAACTTGGAGCCTGTCAAACAGTGTGAGCCATTTTCTTGATATCATTCCTTTCTCTGTATACATATATAGGAGCCTAGGTGGCATAGTGGTTAAATATTGGGCTGTTAACCATAAATTCAGAAGTTCAAAATCACCAGCCACACTTCAGGATAAAGATGGGGCTTTCTACTCCCATAGAGTTACAGTTACAGTCTCAGAAATGCACAGGGACAGTTCTACTTCATCCCATAGGGTCACTAAGAGTCAGCATCAACTTGATGGCTGCAAGTTTTTATGTACATATATAAGCTTTGCTGACTAACACAGAAGTATAGGCAGCCATCACTTTGGGAGCTACCAATAAGCCACACTTCTGGCATTCACATCCTTAGGTAATTCCCACCTTTATTGACTTAGGATTTGAACATAAGATTGGCTTTGGCCAATAGGAGATCAGCAAATGTGATACAAGCACAAGATGTGCACTACAAGGCCTCTTTTTGGACACAGCTGCCCACTAAGAGAAGCCTAAGCCACTGAGTGGCTGTATGGAAAAGAGCAGAAGGCACTCTGATCCAGAGCTACAGTCACCCCCCAGGCACCAGCCACAGGAGAGGACTTGGATCGTCCAGTTCAAATATCCACTGTGCTTCTGGACATCTATGATTCTGAATCAACTGAAGCCCCTAACAGCACCATCTGGACATCCACCATCCAAGCCAATGCCACATGAACAGAAGCTGCCCTGTGGAGTCAATCCACCCCACAGAGTCATGGGAAATCATTAAAGACTGCTATCCATTCAAGCTAGGAGTTGGCAAGCTTCTTCTGGCCAAAGACCAGGGAGTAAATGTTTTAGGCTTGGTGAGTCACAGAGTCTCACTCCAATTACTCCACTCTTGTAACGCAAAAGCGGCCAGAGACGAGATCGGTGAATGAGCACCAACAAAACTTTATCTGCCAACAAATTTTAATTTCACATCACTTCCAAGTCACAAGTATAACTAGTTTTGATTCCCGCCCCCCCCCCAATCATTAAAAGATATAAAAACTACCCTTAGCTCATGGGCTATGAAGAAAGAGGCCATGGACTGCATTGAACCAGAGGCTGTCATTTTCTAACACCCTGTCTTCAGCATTTGAGTTCGAGGTTGGTTGGTTCAGCGGCAACAGAGAATTGAAACACGGAGACACAAGTGAGGCCCCACATCTGTTAAAACAGCGGGACAACAGCAGGGCACATCTCATAGGTCACTAAGAGGCTCCAGGAGAACACACACAATGTTCTGAGCCCGGCAGGTAGTAACTACTAAGCAACTGGTGACCCTTAAGAGACAAGAGCAGTGGTGAGCTGAGAATCACTGTAAGCTGGACACCCGTTTGGGTTAGCTGGTTAACTGGACATATTAATTGGATGTTAATTGGACATATTACTGAAAACCACTCTTGATCCAGCTAATAAGCACAAATAAATAGTCTAATGATTTATGCTTAGGGAAAAAACTGTACACTTGGCAGATACAAATAAGTCACAAATTTAAAAACTTTTTTGAAAAGCTCTACTATCTTTCCATTCTATTTTTTTCTATGAACTTTTTAAGCCCCCCTCATATTACACTACATTGCAACACTATTTGGTATAAAAGAAGCCAGTCATTCACTGCCATCGAGTCAGTTATAAAAAAGAGCAGGGCCGCCTCTGTGTACCTCCTCACAGACTGTCCCTCTGCACAGGAGTAGAGAGCCTCGTCGTTCTCCTATGGAGCAGCTGTAGTTTTGGACTGCCGACTTTCTAGCTAGCAGCCCAGCCTACTACTCCTCGGACTCCCTCTACTTTTCTTACCAAATTTTGTATCTGTGCCCAGAACAAACACTTCAATTCAATGTAAAATACCTTATGATTGAAGCATTAGATTCTTCTAATCTCCAACAGTGAAACTCAAATCAAATTCATATTTGCTAAGATTTGAAAAAAAAAACAGACAGAAGCAGCTTCAAGCTATGACAAGCTGGCTAGGTATTTTATTGTGAACGCTTACCAAGAAAGGTAGTGGAAACAGTGCTGGTTCCTCAAACAGGGCAAGAGAAAGGTCTACAAAAATAAAGAAGTTTGTGGCTGCTCGCATGGTCCAGTGGTTATAAAAATAGTAGAGTCTAGAAAGGGGAAAAAAATTAAGGAGGTTATCAACAAAGAGGAAGAGTTAAACAACACTAAAACATCTCATTAAAGCTGAATGGTTGGTCGAATAAAGAATGTATGGCTCTGGTCACATTTCCTGAAATGGAAGATGGCAAAGGACAAATGCTCCAGGACACTTTATAATGGAGGGGGAAATGAAGAGTATTCATTTATCTCAGAGCGCATCATGCTGTCTGTCTCCAGCGAGGATCAGTATCTTCTTCACTGAGGGTTGTAACAGCATTGGGAGAATATGCTGAAAGGGCTTTGAACAGTCATGTAAAGAATCACCTGTAGTTAATGAGACCAATTATATGTAGCATGGTAGCCTAACCCCACTTTTAAAATGTGTATAAAACCACACAGAGATCTCACAGTCCCGCAGTACTCCTGCTGGAATAGGGGCACACTCCCAGCCTTGCACACCTCACACACTGACGTTCAGTCCCACAATGATGACCTTCAAGCCAGCCAGGGCTGCTTCAGAATAGAATTGCTCTATAGGGTTCTGCAGAATAAAAAAACACTCTGTAGGGTTTCCAAAGGCTAGTTTGCGGGGAGGTAGATCACCAAGCCTTTCTTTCAAATGGGTCTTTTCATAGATTCAAACTTCTAATCTTCAGGGTAGCAATTGCGCTCATTAGTTCTTTGCAGCACCCAGGGACTGCGAGTCCTACGCTAAGAAACATTTTGTTCCTTATTCTAAGTCAAATCCTTGGTCTCATCCACCCTTAAAGGATAACAGAGAAAAAGCTGACGTCTCAGGAAAATAAGACAAAATGAAGGTCTGCCTTGCATGAAAAGGCATCAGGGAGAAGGGAAATGTCTTCATTGTACGTAGCTCCAAGAAGACACCAAAGAGCCAATGGGTACGTGCTCAGCCGCGGACCAAATGGTCAGAGGTTCAAGGCTGCCACCATTCTGCAGGAGAACGATGTGGCTGTCTACTTTTGTAAAAAGACTGCTGCCTTGGGGACCCTATGAGGCAGTGTACTCTGTCTTATGGGGTCACTGTGAGTCAGAACTGACCCAACAGCACCTAACAACAGCATCTAGACATCTACTGTCAAGACTGCGCAGACAGAAAACCTGCCCATTGAGTTCATGCAACCTGCAGAGTCCTGGGAGATAAGTAAAGGGTGTTCTTCATTCTGACACACTTTGGGGGTTGGAACAGGGTTAAGAGGACTCCTGTATCTAGGAGGAAAAGATCATGATGTATTTTTTTAACTTGGATGCCCCTTTCTCCTCTCCTTTTTATCATCTCTACTTACTCTAGTAAGAGTTCGTGATACATGCATGAAATGATCCCCTATGGGTGAGATCCCACAGTCATAGCTTAGCAATGTAAAGAATCACAAGATTATCCAAATCTGCATGTCATATTCTATTTGCTCCTCAAAATAATTATGGAACCAACGTCTTCAGTATTGGTTCGACTTTTAGAACATTCTGTGCTCAAGGAGAGGTGGGTCCATGCAGGCTTTTTAAGCTTGAATTACCTGATGGTCTGAGGTGAGGTTTCAAATGGCACATTTCTGCTATACTGGGCATCAGAAACATAGGCCGCCGCCAGGAGTAGGTCCTGCTTCCCATGGAAGAAAGTAAACAGAGAATCACCGTCAGAGAAGGAGAGGATGCGTTTCTTTTTCCTTTACACCTAATGTTATACATACACACAACTCCCCTTCACCTCTCCTGTCGACTCCTCCCCCAGAAGTAGCCAAAGTTAACGGTATGGTATGCACACTTCCGAGGGGTCCAGGGGGCACAGAGGGTTAAGTGTTGGGCTGCTAACTGAAAGGTTGGCAGCTTGAACCCCCCAGAGAATGAGGAGACAGTCTATTGTCAAGAGTGACATCCTTGGAAACCCTATGGAGCAACTCAACTCCGTCCCACAGGGACCCTCGGAGTCAGAAGGGACTCAATGGCACTCGACAGCCACCCCATGTCTGCCTGCAGACGGCCCCCGGGCATGCAGTAATAAGGCGCTGACTAGAGCATCTGCATGTACTTAAATGACGTATTTATGGAGATATAAGACTATGCACATTAAATTATGTGTCGGCTACTTGAAGACATTTTCAAGGGTGATTTTGACAAGAATATTACTTCTCTTGCTGACTTTTGGAACGCATCCCTTCTTAGAGTAGAAACCGCTCTACACATACACGTATGTGTATTTTTTTTATATAATAAATTTGTTTCCATAGGGTACGTAGCCAACTCTTTTCCTATGACATGGTGTGGGTATTTTTCCCCATGAAGCACCTATTGGTCTACCTGACTCCTTCAAACACGTGCCTCATCATTTACATGGCTTCAATTTGTTTTTATTTAACACACAATCACATTGACCATTTAAAAAAATTACATGTGTCCGTGCATGCATGTGTATGAAAGAGCTTTGAAAAGTTCATAGAAATTTTCATTATCTTTTAAATTCACTTTTTTGTTTTGTTTTTATTTTTTTTCTTTTCTTATTTTTTTAAATTAACTTTTCGAAGTCCCCTAGTATCATTATGCCATACCAATATTTTTGTAGGATAGCGTGTAATTGCTAAATGAAGGGTTTATATTGGCCTTCCAAGAAGATGCACGATTTATACACCTCAAAGCTGCCTCTCACCACCATTGATATCATTTAAAATGGGTGTGCTAACATATAATCACCCATAGAACCCTTTAATATTGCCACTCGAGGCTTGAATATTTTTCTTCAGCTCTTGCAGCTTGAGCTATGTTCTTGCTGTCATCCTACAACTCGTTCCATCTTTGTCATTCGAGTTCAATGTGTCAATCTGTCCTTGAGATGGTCTCTAAATTCAGATGGAACATGTTCAAGGTCATGGTTTGGCTCTTGTGAACTTGTAGTTCTCTTCAGCTTCAACCTGAGTTTGCCTGTGAGCAGTTGGTGGTCTGTTCTATGGTCAGTCCCGGCCTTGTTTGGACAGATGACATGGAGCATTTCCATCCATCCTCTCTTCCCACAGGTGTAGTCATTTGGCTCCTGTGTATTCCAACTGGTGAGCTGCCACTGACACCGCAAAGAATTCTGAGCTAAGTTGTTTGTTTTTTAAGTAGTTACAGCAGAATCTTTTAAGGCCACTGCTGTTCCAATGTAAACTTTGGATACTACTAAATGCTTGCAGTTTCTGTGAAGCCTCGCAACAGATTTGTGAGGGGTCCCAGTCACTCACAAGCCCTTTTGCAGAGAGAAAGAGCGCTGACCAGCAATCCCTCAGCCAGCCAGGAGAAAACAGAACGTTATCTCCGGTAGACATCACCCAAACTCTGGAGACTGAAAGATCGAACATCGGTTCAAACCCACCAGCTACTCTGTGAGAGAAAGATAAGGCTATCTTTTCCCACAGAGACTTATGGTCTCAGAAACCTGCTGGAGGGTCACCGTGAGAAAGAGCCAACTGGATGGCAGTAGGTTTGGTTGTATTTTGACTTGGGGGGAGATGTGTGTGTGTGTGTGTGTGTGTGTGTGTGTGTGTGTGTGTGTGTGTGTGTGTGTTGGTTATGCATTGAATAGCAACCAAATCTGTTGCCACGGTAATTTTGACTCAAGTCATGGTGGTGCAGTGGTTAAGTGCTGATTGTGAACTGACAGGTGGGTAGTAAGAACCAAGCAGTTGCTCTGAGAAAGACAAGGCAGTCTGCTCCATAAAGATCAGAGCCTCCCAAACAGCGTGGAATAGTTCTACTCTGACCAAGAGGGCCATGGAGTCAGATGGAAACAGACAGCTGTGCCTACTCAAAGACGGTGGCTGACCACTCATGTCAGGAATTGAATCTCACCTGTCAGCCTCCAGAAGCTTTCAGGAGGAAGGACTGTAGCAGGGCTGTTGGGGAGCAATACGGGCATGTTGGCATAAGATTTGAGGAGCATTATAGGTCGGAATCCACTCCACCGCAATGGGTTTGTTGTTGTCGTTTAGTTTACCTTCAGTTTCTAAAGCTTACCCCCCCCCCCCACCTGTTTTACTTTTCTGGTTTGTGCACGTGTGTGTTGATCGGTGATTTACAGAAAAGATGAGCAGATCATACATGTTTTCTTCCATGTCATAACACGAAGATTAGCAGCAATCTTCACAATGTAGTATCATTAATCCCATTTCCTTCCTGTTTCCACTCCTCTTTCTCTCACAACCTTTCTGAACTTTGTCCACGGCTAAGTGCTGCCCACTTGATCTTAAGTGGCCGATCATTCTAAGGTGTGAGTACTTCCGTAGTGTTATTGCTCCTGCTACAACCCATCTATTGTGTGAAGATCAAAGACTTGGATTACAGCGCAATGTAAAGAAAACCCAAATCTTCATAATTGGACCCATAGATACCATCACAATAAATAGAGAAGACTAAAATTGTAAAGTATTTCATGTTATTTGAATCCACAACCAATACTCATGGAATCAGCAGTCAAGAAATCAAACGACCCTTTGCATGGGGCAAATTTGCTGCATATGACCTCTTTGAAATGTTAAAGAGCAAACATATCACTCTGAAAACTAAAGTGTGCCTGACCCAAGCCATGGTATTTTCAGTCACCTCATAAGCATGTGAAAGTTGGACAATGAAGAATTGATTATTTTGAATTATGGTGTTGGTGAAGAACATTGAAAGTACCACATACTGCTAGAAGAACAGACAAATCTATCTAGGAGGAAGTACAACTGGAATGCTACCTAGAGGGGAGCATGGTAAGACTTTATCTCATGAACTTTGGCCATGTTATCAGGGAGAGACCAGTCCCTGGAATGGGGCATCATGCTTGGTAAAGTCAAGGGTCAGCTAAAAGGGGGGTACCTTGAATGAGATGGATTGATACAGGGAATGCAACAGTGGGCTCAATCATAACAGTAATTGTGAGGATGGAGAAGGACCAGCCAATGTTTTGTTCTGTTAGGCATAGGGTTCTGAGTTGGAGGTGATTCAGAAAAACTCATAGTGATAAGTTCATTTCCAGACCTGAAGCGTGACTAAGGGCCACAGTCATGAGGATTCCACCAGTCTCTGTTTGACCAGGAAGTCTAGTCTTTTTAAGACAACATTGAGATTTGTTCCACATATTTCTCCCACTCTATCCAAGACCTTAGCATTGGATCCCTTGTAGAGCAGTTGGTAGTGAATGGTAGCTCAGCACTATCTAGTTCTTCTGGTCTCAGGGTTAGTGAAGACTGATGTGCACATGGTCCATTGGACTAATTGTTTCCATGCATCTTTGATCCTCCTAACACTGACTTCCTTTGTACAGGGAAGGGCCAATAGTTACACCTTAGATCAATAGCTGAGCCGAGAGTTGTGCTGAATGCAAACTTTTAAGACTGTGGCCACTACTCCCATAATCTTCGTAACTTACGCTATGCCAATTGGCCTTGTATCCCATGAGACCATGGTCCTGAGCCTCCACATCCCATGACTCATTCCTTCAAAGTGTCTGATTATGCCTATGAAGTTTTCATGACTTTTATCTGTATGCTCCATCATATTCATGAACATATTTGCAGCAGAGGTAAATACACTGATACAAATATCCTTTGCCAACCATCTATATATTCATAGGTATACTGCCACTCTCCCTTTCACACTCACTCAACATGAGGGTCTATCCATGCATATACTAGTAGATCGTCATGAATGCAGAATGTGTATCTAACAGTGTTTATTTCTGTTGCTTTTCATTCATGCACTCCCCCCAGTGTCTTCCCCTGTTTCCATCACTTGTTGCCTATTTACTTCTTACTTTCCCCAAGCACTCCACAGGAGAAAGATGAGGCTTTCTACTCCTGTAAAGAGTTACAGTCTCGGAAACCCACCAGAACACTTCTTCCTTGTCCTATAGAGTCACCATGAGTCAAAATTCCTTTGAAAGCAGTGATTTGGAATTTTAGTCTTCACCCAAGTTAACGTGTGACTACCCTCTAGGCAATCATTTATCTTCCCTTTCCCGCCCAACACCCACCCACTCACTCACTCACTCACCCACCCAC